GAACATTTGAAAATAAATGTAGATCAAGCAATTTCTTTGGTACCACACAACTCAATCATTTCATGATTCTATAAAACTCAAAAAAGTTCAAGATGATTTTAACTCATTTCCAGAAGATAGAAACAGGCTGTAGGAGTGGTATCAGATTTAGGAGGGCAGAGACAGCCACAAACTAAAGTGCAGGAAGAAGAGATAATGGTGAATAGAGAACCAGGAAAATTCAAAAATTAGAGGTCCCAGGAACAGTGGGGAAAGGGTAGGAGTTGAGGAAATGCTGAGGGGAAGTATGACATAGGGTTGAAAATAGGAGGATAAATTGAAAGTCTGAGGGTGACATAGTTCACTAGGTTTAGCAACCTCAACAGTGTCAACCAGGGAAAAGTAAAATTTCATATGACACCAGATCTCTAGAAACTCCTTTATTATAAATTCTAGCAGAAGGGTCAAATATTTACACCTGGTATTTGTATAGCTGTTTGATATATTATAATATTAATAATAAAAATAATACTAATAATAAAAATTAGAAAATTCCCTTTTGTGGAAACCCACAAAACCAGTGTTTAGGGGGGACAAACAACAAATAAAATGCTCACAAAATCTAGATTGCACTCTTAAGAGCTATAAAATACCATATTTATTTAGAAGATGCTTTTACTGAGGAATTGTGGTCACTTCCAGGGGAATCTTATCAATGATCTATTTCAAACCTCAGATAACAGGCTAAAGAGACTTGAAGTGAAATCTTTTGCCAAATGTCACAAAGCTAATTAATGTTCAATATGGTATTAGAACCCAGGTCATTGACTCTTAACGGCCTGTCTCAATAACACCAAGCTGCCAGTAGGGTGAGCTTTGATTCAGTCATATTTTTCACCAAAATCTTCTTTTTATTTGTCATGTTTTTGAACACTTCATTAGAAACAGAGGTTTGCTCTGTGATGACAGGATGATATAAAATCTGCTTGCTGACTTTTTGGTGAATTTATTAACATTCTCCTCATTGTTAGGGTTATTTAACAAACAGAAGTAGATGATCAAAGTATAATAGAACATGAGACTCAATCGTGAATGTGGCTTTTTCACATTCTTTAAGAAGGTTGAGTTCATGAATAAAAAATACAAGCAAATAATAGGGTAGGAAAACATGGCTCAACATTAAACCAAGGACTCAACATTAAGCCAACATAAACCAAGGGCTGAGAGACAAATTCATGATCTTGATTGCTTTTCTTTAAGCATATTAAATGATTCATAAAACTAGGGTGATATTTTTGGCACTCAACGAAACCTTTACACGCCATTTTGTAGAAAACAGTGTCTTTAAGTACTGACTAGCCATTGTATTCTTCCATTTCTATACTCAGGACTTGCATCCTATTTCTCTGATATAATTTACATTTGGCTACTACACGAATATGCATTAAAATTGTGATACTGATTTTATCAGTGAAGTGGTTAGAATGTTGGCATTTAATGGCTATAATTACATTTCTAGGTTAACAGTACTATTCAGTTGAATAAGGAAAGATTTTGCTTCTGTGTTACTGTTCCACATCTGGGTTTGTAATCTCCAAAAGGCAAGATAAACTAGCTTTTCATTCAAAAAAACAAATTTCATAATTGTAGAGATAATGGTTCTAGTAAGTAAAATAAACTATATTCTGGAGAAATCAGCAGAAACTCATAGGTCTTTAAGCCTTCCAGAGCCAGCCAATTTCTGCTGCTTTAGGCTTGAATAATTTTATCGAACTGCAATAAATTTGAATTCCCCTCTAAATTCTTAAATTTGGGAGGAGAATCTATTCTTATTTTGCTATTGGAAAGGAAAGGAGGAATATGAAATCATTCCAACCATATCTAAGAGTATTAGAATAGTATGAAGATTCCTCGATTTGCTGTGTTCCCTCTGAAAGGTACAAAGATGAGAGATGATGGCAGGTGAATCAGTGTTCTATTTTATCTAGAGACCTGAGTGCTCTCACTGCTCTATTCCCTTAGGGGGTCATGTTCCTCTGCTTAAAAGAATATTGCCAGCTCTGTGAGCTAATGATTTGTTTGGAGGATGTAAGTCTCAGAGGTGAAGATAACTGCACAGCTTTTATAAGGTACCTTACAAATCTTTTGATCTGCTTTTTTCTGAATACATGGGACCCCTCAATAGCAAGATTAAAGATGCCTCTTAGAGAAGAAAGGCAAAATTTGAAAGCCTAAAAGCTCCTCAGATTTCCAAATAATATTTCTGTATTTCTTCATGTTGTCAACATCGTACTTGGCGTTATCCTGCATTCATGTGATAATTGGATGGGAATCAAAATATAGTATTGGATCATTAGGGTTTTTTCCTATTTTCCAAGGAGGTGGGGAACTATGAATCTTGTTTTCAAAAGTGGTTAGTGCAAACTAGTTTATGGCTACGACTTACATATTCATTTTGACTTCTATTTAATTTGACAAACATTTACTCGGTACCTACTAGATGTCAGATATTGTGCCTTCTTTTGTAGGGAATACCAAGAATCAGGACCTGGTTTCAGGGACTCTACTCTCATCAAGCAGATAAGCCACTTACGGAAATGGCCATGACAGGATGCAGCATATGAGAAATGAATGCTTGGAGAGAAATGAATGACATTCAGTGCGAGAGCAGAGAGAAGAGACAGTATGCAAGAAAGAGGGGCATCAGGGAAGATTTTAGCATTTGAGAAGGAGCTTGCAAGATGAGTGAGATTCCCTGGATGGGGACTGAAGCCAGAAGTAAGGTGATAATAACGTATGTTGTGTGTGTGTGTGTGCGCGTGTGTGTGTGGTGGGGGGAGGCAAGAGAGGTGGTTAAAAAAGATTGAGAAGCTTGTACTTAACTTGTAGCCAGTAGGGAGCCAATGCAGATTTTTAAGCAGAGCAAAGATAGAATAGTAAGAGTTGTGGTTTAAGAAATATTTTTGAAGCATTTTAAAGCAGATCTTAGTGTATTTTGAGATAAAAATATGTCTATAAACAAGCAATTGTGTTTGATAATGTCCTATAGCTTTTATTTCCAGATAGAACAACTACCACTAAAAATGTTAAACAAGCCAATAGGTTAGAGAATTAGCTTCTCATTTATATTTGAATCTGAAAAATTATTTTTCACTGTTATAATGGTGTAGCTCATCCATGTATAGATTTCTAATCTCAGTCAAATGAATCAGTAAGGGGCGTACTTTTATAGCATTGTGGAGAATTTAATCTTTTCCACCATATGAATAGCTGAGTTTTTCGTGTCTGAATAATATTTTGGAATGCTTTTTTTTTGTTCTGTTCTTAAGTCCTTTAGAACACAACACACCCTTACAAAAAAATGGAGAGAGAAAATGTGAAAAAAATAGAAAAATAAATACCTTTTTTATTAGAGTAAACAAAAGTAAAGGAGATTTTTTAAAAGCCAAAAACAGGATTACAGCAAATAGACACATGGCTCTGATCAGAAGCTACTTTTGAGGAGTACTTTTTTCATGATTATCATTGTGAAGGTTAGAGTCTATGCAAGATAAATCTGAAAACCTGAGTAGCTCAACTTGTTTTCTACCAAATAATCTAATAGATGGATCATATTTCCTCTGCTTCATCCCCTGGGCAGGAAAAGTGAGAGCCTAAAGAGAAGATAACTCAAAACTACAGAACAAACTCCCAAATATATGACAAGACAACATCCTGCAGTAAGCAAAATGTTACCTAAAAGTGGTTAGTTAATAACTCACTATAAATATTTGGGGGCATCTGAGCACTTTGAAACTCAACGAGTGATCTGTTTTTGAAGTTTTCATCTTGTTTCCTCTTACTGTGCATATATTTGGACTGAGACCTTTGCTTACTTTATCACTAGAGGACAGACGGTGGTAAGTGGTATTATATTGATGTAAAAGAGTCAATAAAATTCCTTTGTGGCAAATCTACTATTTATTCTATGGAGGAAATGAATACCAAAACAGATTATTGTTTCATCTAAAACACCTAAGAAAAAGAGAGTTCCAAATAGGAGATGCTTCCGCACATCACAAAATTTTGACTTTTGATTCCATTAGAGTTATCCCAAAATACTTAAAATATTTTTCTCTTAAAAGTTTGATTTGAAAACAAATAATTATGTAATCCAAAGGTCTTTCATAGGCAGTACCGTTAAAAAATTTTTTTTCAAATATCCTGAAGTTCTTAACTGGGGACTAGAGCCTAGTCAAGTTGACACATAAAACTGACCCTCACATCCCCTGCAGTTATTTGTTTTTAACTATTTTGACTAATTATCACAAGAAAAGTATATAGGAAAAAAGTTGAATTAAGAGAAATAACTATCAAATATTTTCTAAATTAATATTCCAACTTGAATTGATCAAAGATAGGAAAATGTACCACTATCAGAAAAGTACAGGTGTAATACTAATTAGTATCTATAAACACTTGCTCCTGTCAATCAGGTACAACACTGACCAGATATTTTTTAAAAACATAAACTCATTTCACATTTCTTACAATTGACCAGTACACATGGTTGAATATTTAAGAAAAGTGAAAAAAAAAGCATGAGCATGATGATTTATCAAGCTGAACAAATCATTACCGCTTTTTTTTTTTTTTTTTGCTGAGGAAGATTCGCCCTGAGCTAACATCTGTGCCAATCTTCCTCTATTTTGTATGTGGGTTACCACCACAGCACGGCTGATGTATGGTGTAGGTCTGCGCCTGGGAACCAAACTCACGAACCCAGGCCACCACTGAATTGGAGCATGCCAAACTTAACCACTACACCACAGGGCCAGCCTCATTACCACTATTTTATGCTTTCCTTAAGCATCAAAGGTACATATAGCATGAAAGTACTCCAACATTCACATAGCAATGCATAAATAAAATTACCACTAACATTAAAATCACCAATGGCTGAATAAACTTTTACAATGAAAATGACATAGGCACTAAGAATGATACAGAGTCTAAAGTGTTTTCAAAAACCAACGCCTTACCAGTGATTGGATCAGGGGCAATGTTGCTTCTACTCTCCTTCCATGACAGCAGGTAGTCAAGGCTGGTGAGATCTGCACACTCTATATAATTCTTCACCGACTGCATCATCTGATGAGCTCTCGCTATTCCGTAATGAACTTTGGTCTCATCCATCAGGGGCATGTTTGTGAGCTCTGCTGTTGTGTCAAAAGCTTGCTGGAAGCATTCAGAAGCTTTGTTGTAGTATCCCTAAAGATGTAAGAGAAATCATTTTTTGCTTAATTTTTATTTTACCATTCTGCATATCTGCCCACTTTGGCACGTGCCTCACTGATCTTTCAACAGCTAGAGCAGTTCATCTTCAAGAAGAAAGACATGGCCAGCAGGGTCTCTATTAGAATAAGGTTCTTCTTATAAGTGATTACTAACTATGCAATATCTTGAAGTTAATTGACTAAGAAAGCTGTATCTACCAGGTTGAACTGTATGAAACTTAAGTTTTTTGGATTAAAAAAATGGTCAAATATAAGCATCTTCATATGGTTCACCCTAATATATGGTAGCAAATAGAAGTTTGAGAAAGAGGGAACCAATTCACATTGATTTGGATGGAATTTTCTTACTCATAGCATTGAATTTACCTAAAGAAATTTTTTTAACCAGCTTTTTTTTTCAGTCACAGCCAGACATCATTTTCAGCCAACTGGTTTAATTAATGGCCAGTGAAAATAGATGTATATATCTGCCGATTCCGTTATTACTCACGTTCTCCCACGTGCACATGCCATTCTTGACTGAGAATGTGGAGGCATCCAAGACTTCTAAAAAATATCTTGATAGCACTAGCATAACTCAAATGATTATTTAAATGTCTATCTCTTCTCCTAGTCCTTTGCAACATTTTAAGTCGCAAAAATTCCAGGTTTTTTCTTCTTTTGTCATCCTCACCTCTCCTTCCAAAAGCTATTGTCCATAAATAAACAATGTTTACCTAACTCTTATGAAGTGTCAGGGTCAGTGCTAAGTACTTCAGATGTATTATATCATTAGCCTTCAGAGGTCACCCGATGAGGAAATATTATCCTTATTTTACAAATAGTGAATTTGACCCACAATGCTGAGACTATCTTCTGCCAGCCCCCGGGTCTTCTAAAAATCCTCATTAAAAACTCCTCCCTCAAAGGAGGGTATTATTTTTAGGATTGAGCTATACTAGTAAAGACTCTAGGCAACAAAATTTCCTTTCTTCATTGACTTAGAACCCTTTGGGCTCCATCTTCTCTCTTCTCCTCTCCTTCCCTCTCCTCCCCCCTTGCCTCTCCTCTCCTTTCTCTCTTTCTCTCTCTCATACACACAAAAACATGCATGCACACTCTTGTCAAAAGAAACTCTTACAAGAGAGAATGTTCTACTATGAGTTTTCAAGTCATTTTCTCACAACATTTTATGAAGGAACTGGAAATAAAAAACACCACAGAAACAGCTTGATACCATATGCTAGTATAGGTAAAATGCGCACTCAAGTCCACGCACCTATGTATAATCATGGATTTCAGAGAGCAAACTGATTGAATAAAGAAGTTGCTAGCGAGGTGAGGAGGGGGAGAAATAGGGCTTATGTGACAGTTATGTTATATACATGAGCAGCACATAGAACACTATGTTATATGCCCACAAGGACAGTTTAAGCAAAGCATTTATTAGAATGGTTCACTCCAATTTTTAAACAGACTACCTCTATATTATACCAACAGTATAGAATTTTGGAAATGATAATTATGTGATGTGATAGAGGTGCCAACTATCACTACAATAACAATCATATTACAATATATAAAAGTATCAAATCAACATGTTTTACACTTTAAATTTATACATTTTTATGTCAAATATATTTCAATAAAAATAAAAAATTAAAAAAAAATATACCAACAGTAATTTTTGTTGAGTTGAACTATTTCTTCTCTTGTTTCAAAGTATAAAACATAGAAGTTGTATGAGAATAAGATTACTTAGTTAGGAAAAAAGAAAACTGTATCAAAGATATTTGTATGCCAATTAACTAAATTGTACAATTGAGAAACAACATGAATATTGAAGATGAAATTAAACTAGTTAAAATTATAGATTGTCCTGCTAGACATCAAAGATATAGAACAAAATAAATGAAAATATATGGCTAGACCAAACATTTCTATTTTTAAGAACAGAGAAGTATAAATATCTAATTATTGTTCAGTTATAATTCTGAGCTTTACGCTATTTATTGTTTTAGGTGAGTCTCAATTAGGAAAATCAGGGACCATAACTAATGGACATATATTTGAATTTCCAGAATTATTTGTATACATTATGTTAGAATGAACTCACTCATTTGTCCATTCATTCATTGAGCAATTACTATGTGCCAGGCCCATGCCAGGCAGTGGAGATTCAAGAGTGAACAGAATTTTTGGTCAAGTAGGCAAGCCTACTGCTAGTGGAAGTCTTCGTATGCCTAAAACTTTCATTAGATATTATTTAACAAGTGTTTCTTTTCCCCTAAAACAGGAGCATTATAATTAGGTAATTATTCTTCCCTCAAATTATGCCTAGTATTCAATCGTTAGACATACCCTCAACCCTCAACTTATATCAACCTAAATTTCTCTAGTTTAAAACACTATTAAGGAAATACAACATTAATTCTTCTCAGATGCAAGAAGTTTTATACATACCGTTTAGGAATGAGATTTCATTAATGTTCATTGTATTCCAGATTTTTAATTCTTAAAGAGTTTAATATCTAAATTAAATCTCTTCTCCAAAGGTTCTGTCCAACCTTCCACAATTCCTTTCTGCTATCAGTTTAATCCCTATCCTATTATAAAATTCAGAAGATTCCAATAATTAATCCTGGCAATCTTAAATATATGAGTTTGAAAATATACAAGTGAATTTACACACTTCACTTAATTTATGCAATTAAATACATCTTATTGGAAAACATGACTTTGTTTAATGTTGTCAACATCACTGATAAGCAGTTAGTGGACAATTTCAGGACAGGATCTTGATGACATCATAGATCTTGAAACAAAGTTTGCATTATTACACTATAACATAGAATTTTCATGTGTTATTCTGATTCTTACCAGATACTTCTTAGTGTCTAAAATGTCACTCTATCCAATGAGAAGTTCAAAATAAATGGGCATTTTCTCAAGGAAGAATCATTTCTTACACATTTTCCCTACTATTTTAGTGTTGGAACTATCATTATTTTAACTATGCGATTATTCTCTGATCTTATTAGAGAATGAGACATTTCATAAAGGGGCTATACCTAGTCATTTTCCCCAAAACATTCTCATTTGACCCCTTTACATTAATTATATATTTTCAATTAAAAGTCCATCAAAAGCTCATGTCAGGAAGGTGGGATGGGTGGCCCGTCTTCCATGATTATATTCTAAAAGGTAAACTAATTAGGATAAACGATATTTTTAGGATGTGTTAACTTTAATTATAACAACACTATAATAATTAGAGAAAACAGTAACTCCATTATTTTTCCAAACATAGTTTTGTGTTGTTATTGTGGTCTTATAATAATATTTCTTAGAAATTATTGTTAAGAATACAATTAGAATACATTGCATGAATAATATGAAGCCAGAAAAGGTATCATGAGGGCAGCTTATAAAAGGCCTCAAAAGGTAGACTGACACGTATCAGCATTATTAGATTTGCTTTTAAAGATTCAGTATAAGTTTTCAAAATGCTAAAATATTGGACAAAGTGAAATAGAAGTTTGGAATTTCAAAAGTGAGAGAATACTACTCTCCAGTGGTATAAAATTGGTTACAAATTTATTGATTGATTCAATGAACTCACATATTTTTGCTCACCAACTCTGTGCCAGGTTCTCTTCTAGGCGCTGGAATAAAATAATAAACAAGGCAGATATGGTCCCTGTTCTTATTAAGCTTCCATTCCAGCCAAATTAAACAAGAAAAATATAAATAAGAAAACTATGAGATAAGTGCCACACGGAAAATTAACGTAATGTTAAAGAGTGACCTGGTGGCTACTTTTGATTGGGTTACCGAGAGAAGGCCTCTCTCCAGATATGGCATTTAACTGAGATCTGAACGACAAGAATTCAGCAATGTGAAGTTCAGATTGGAAAGCATTCCATGTGGAGCAATCCAGCTAAGGCAGGAAAAAGCTCAGCGTGTTTGAGGAACTCCACAAAAGTCCATTTGGTTGTGGTGGAGTGGACGAGAAGGTCAGTGGGAGGCAACAAAGTCAGGGATTGAGGGGGCTGCATCTCACCTAGACTGTTTCAGGTCAGAGTGAGGATTTGTATTTATGTTCTCAGAAGAAAGAGAAGTAATGGAAGCATTTTACGCAGAGAGCTAATAGGGTTTTATTTACATTTGAAGGATTACTTGGGCCTCTGTGTGGAGGCAGGATTACGTGGGGGAGGAATGGGGAAATGGATTTGAGCTTATTGCAGTAGCACAGGTGAGAAAATATAGTGTCATATACTGATGAGGTGATAGTAGCAGACAGACAGAGAAGTGGGTAGATTTGAGATGTGTTTTGGTGCCCTAAAGGTCAGGGTTTTCTTCTGGATTGGATATGGAGCAAGGTGGAGAGAAGAATCAAAGAGTATCCAGATTTTTGGCTTGAGCAACTGGGTTGATGGATAATGATACCATTTATTAAGATGGCGAAGATTGGGGAGGATTAGGCCAAGGGAAGGAGGAATCATGTTAAGTTTGAGATGTCTATTAGACATCCAGGTAGAGATGCTAAGTAGGCAGTTGGCTTTACAAGTTGGCAGTCCCAAGGAGAGATCAGGGTTGGAGATACAAATTTGAGAGTCATCAGCATGTGGATGGTATTTAAAGCCACCAGCCTGTATGAGGTCAGACAATGGGAGCTCATAGATTGAGAAAAGAAAGTTGCCTACAAAATGCCTGAATAATATTCTGAACATTAAGTTGGTAGAGGAATAGAATTTAGGGCAAAGACAATGAGTTCAGTTTTTAATAGGTTATATTTGAAGAGATCTAAGTGAAGATGTCAAGTAGCCAGTACGGATAAGTCTGGAATTGACGAGAAAGATCTGAGTTTGAGACATTAAGAAGCGGGGCCGGCCCGGTGGCACAAGCAGTTAAGTGCCTGCGCTCCGCTGTGGCGGCCGGGGGTTCGCAGGTACCGATCCCGGGCGCGCACCGACGCACCGCTTGTTGAGCCATGGTGGCGGCGTCCCATGTAAAGTAGAGGAAGATGGGCATGGATGTTAGCCCAGGGCCAGTCTTCCTCAGCAAAAAACGAGGAGGATTGGCAGATGTTAGCTCAGGGCCGATCTTCCTCACACACACAAAAAAAGAGATATTAAGAAGCTAAGTGCTGTTGTGAACTCAATATGTGCTAGGAACTCTACTAGGTACTATGTACATATTTTTAAATGTATAATCCTTATATAGCTAGTCTTCAAGGTATCTTGTTATTGACATTTGAAAGATGAGGAAACTGAGAATCAAAGAATTAACTTGCCCACAGTCATAGTTAATAAATAGCTGAGTGCAGATTTAAATTCAGGTGGGCAAAATTCAGTGTGGCTCCCTTGTGCGGCTACAATTGCCTTCACGGAAAAGCTTAATGGATAGCACGTGGTGCAAATGGCTTGTGAAATTGTTCAGCTATGTAACTGGAATAAAGGCATTTAATGTACTCAGGAAACATCCACAAGCAACTGAATAGTAGAAACGTTAAATATTCCTTGTCAATGTTTTCCTAGGAAATGGCTTTGCAGAACTAGAGGGAAATTCAGAATGTCATCAAGCTATCACCTTGTCTGAAAAAGACAAGAAGGAAAAATCACTGTCACTTAGTTCTAATAAATCCACTTAGTTATACATTTTCAAATCATACTCTTAGTAATGATTGAACAACTCAGAGTCAGCCTAAGAAGTCACTGGTAGGTTTTCTGACTTGAGAAGTGTCAGCAAAGAATCACAGTAATGCACAAAAATGGAATGTAACATTAACAATTTTAGTACCAAATCAAGCTTTGTTTTGAAGTCTGTGATGTTATAAAATTATTATAGTATTATGTTCTTAATACTATACTATTCATCAGTGACCATTTATTACATTAAAATATAAGGAATCACTAAGGTGTATGAATCAACTTGTATACTTGAAGATAGCATGAATACCTGGGATCCTTCAAATTTTATATTAGAATAGGGATAAACTGGCAAAAAATTAACTTTTGGTATTTGACACAGCCTTTGGATATTATTCATGTCTCTAGCCTTTAGATACTAAACTATTCTTCAAGAATTAGTAATCAGAGAATAAAATACATATCGATGAGATACACACTCTTGGTAAAAAAGTTGAGAAAACACACGTATAAAAATATTACCCCGGGGCCGGCCCGGTGGCGCAAGCGGTTAAGTGCGCGCGCTCCGCTGCGGCGGCCCGGGGTTCGCTGGTTCGGATCCCGGGCGCGCACCGACGCACTGCTTGGCAAGCCATGCTGTGGCGGCGTCCCATATAAAGTGGAGGAAGATGGGCACAGATGTTAGCCCAGGGCCGTCTTCCTCAGCAAAAAAAGAGGAGGATTGGCGGATGTTAGCACAGGGCTGATCTCCTCACAAAAAAAAAAAAAAAATTACCCCTCAGAAAGGTTTTCTGTTTTATTTTCTTTATGATTTCTGTAATTAGGAAATTATAGGCTGATACTTGATGTTCATGTTCTACTAAAGGACTGAGTTCTGGGTATTGTTCAATGGTAGGGTAAAACAATTTGTGCCTTTTGAACTTCTGTTTTGAAGAACAATCCCTTTGAAAAGTAAGACTATATATTTATTAGGAATGTCAATTCTGCCACTGTGGGATAAGCTCCGCTAGCAGACTGTAAGCCTTACAAGGGCATAAGCCTTGTCTTTTTTTCACCACTGTTTCCTGAAAAGTAAACAAAAGGAAATACAAAATCGAGAGAGGAGTCACCAGAGGCAAGGAGCAGCACCAGAGAGACAGGGTATCAGAAGGGGCACACAGCAGAGAGAAAGACCTGGGGGCAACAAAATGGAGGCCACAAAGAAAGATGAGAAACAAAGTGGGGGAGACCGGAGGGAGAGGACAACGGGGCAACTGAGGGTGAGAGAGTGGTGTCAGAAAGACAGGAGCAGGAGAGAAGGGAGCAAGGTGAGTACAGGAGGAGGAGAGAAGAAGGAGGGTGACAGTCAGGAGAAAAAGGGGGGTTTATGATTGTACGTGATAGGAGAGAGGGGAGGCAAATGAGCCAGGGGGAGCAAGAGAGTAGGGTATAAAAAGAAACGAGATACCCAATTTGAAAGCACGTTTCCCATAGCGGGAACTAAAGATAGTCGTTTCATTTATTCAAATTAATTTCCAACTCTATTTCCTTAAAAAAGAAAAAAAGCCTAAATGATTCTGAAATCATCAAAATCAATTATATGGCAAATAAAAGACTGTAGTGGTTAAGAGTAGGGGTTTGAATACCACTGCCACCTAGAAGCTTGGAGACTTGGGGCAGGTTACTTAAACCTTCTTAACCTCGGGACAAGGGGATTGTATGACACTCATAAGGGTGTGGAGAACAATGATGGCTACCACTTATGTAGATGGCACTCACTTCCCCGCCAGGTGCTATTCTCAGTGCTTTACATATACTAACTCAATACTCACAACAACCTTAAGAGGTGAGAAAATTGAGGCATCTAGAAGGTAAGTAACTTGTTCCAGATCAGAGATCTTGTCAGTGAAAGAGCTGGGCTTTCAACCCAGTCTGGTCTCCGAGTTAGTGCTTTTAATCAGTACATACACAGCCTCTCAAAATGATTAAGACAAGGTGGATAAACACAGTTTGAGAATGTAACTACCCTCAAAAATGATAGATCCTATTCATGATCAAAAGAGCAATCATAACTAAAGAAGCAAGCCTCTTTCATATGGTTTCTCAAGGAGAATCTGGGTAATAAAAGATAAAGTCAGGAGAAAATAAATCAAAAGTTCATCACAACCAACGCATTTCGCTAGTAACAGCCTCTTGAATGAGATACTTTTATTTTAGACTTTTTTCTCTTCTTTCACAAAGCCAATCTATTGCTAGAATTCCATATTTCCTTCAGAATTACTCTTGCGATTCACCTTTCTTCTTCCGAGGGACCCAGCAGGGACATTACAGCTGGATTAATAAAATAAGAATTCGGGGCAAGAGAGGTGAATGTTAGTGTTAGCAGATAAGAGCCAACTGTCATAAGGAAATTCTTTTGAGTTGAAATACACTAATTGCTCTTCAAATCCAAAACCACTTAGAATCTGCATTGGCTGTGAAGACGTGAATCAGTGTTAGCAGCTTGTGGTGATTGTGCCCAAGATGGCACTCAGGTCCTGGAAGAAGAGGAAGCAAGAGGCATTTCTCCTCCCAGTCAGTCACTGCCTTGTCCTGCAGTCCTGGGGCCACTCTGCATAACATGTTGTGGGAAGGATCAAATGGGAACAGAATTTTAAAACGGCAAATTTTTCCCTGTAAGCAAGAAACACATATACTCACTTTTTTATTGTAGATGTCCCCAAGCATTGTACTTGCTCTCACAACATCTAGGCTTTGAAAATTGTTTCTTGCAATTTTCACAACTTTTTCCAAGTACTTAATTGCTTCTGTCATCTCTCCTTGGCTAGAATAAATAAAATAGGAAATGATTGGAATATCATCTCAATGTTACAGTAAAAAGAAGATATTTTGTGTTTTCGCTTTTGAAAGTGCAAGATGGTTATAAGGATAACGATATGTAAAGTGTAAATTAAAAAAATATGTGGCTTGTCTTTGTTGGAGTATACAGTGGGTTAAAACCTAAACCTTTAACCCCTCATGCATTGCTGGTGGGATTCTAAAACGGCGCAGCTGCTCTGGAAAACAACTTGGCGGTTCCTCAAAAATTTTAATATACAGTTAACCATATGTTCTAGCAATTTCACTCTGGTGTATACCCCAGAGAAATGAAAACATATGTCCACACAAAAACTTATACACAAATGTTCATAGCAGCATTATTCATAATAGCAAAGAAATGGAAACAACCAAATGTCTATCAATTGAATGGATAAGCAAAATGTGGTATACCCATACAATGGAATATTATGCAGCCGTAAGAAGGAATGAAGTAGTAATATATGCTACAACATGGATAAATCTTGAAAACATGCTAAGTGAAAGAAGCCAGTCATAAAAAAACACATATTGTATGATTCCATTTACATGAAATGTCCAGAATAGGCAAATCCATAGAAACAGAAAATAGGCTAATGGTTACCAGAAGCTGGGGAGAGGGGGTACGGGGGAGTGGCTGCTAATGGGTATGAGGTTTCTTTTCAGAGAGATGAAAATGATCTGAAATTACATAGTGGTGATGGCTGCACAACTCTGTGGATATACTAAAAACTATTGAATTGTAGACTTTAAAAGAGTGAATTATATGGTATACGAATTATATCTCAATAAAGCTATTATTTAAAAAAAAAACCAAAAACCTTTAAAAAGGTTGAAATTTTCCACACTCCTTTGCAAATGAAGCCAGTCCTTTGCAGGGAGGCATGTGTAATTCGCGAAACACCTGCTGGAGGTATAACAAATACGCTGAAAATGGAGTATTCTGAAATCCCCCAACCAGGACTCCAAGGAGTGAGAGAGAGATATAGCCACAAGACGGAAGGAGCCTGGTTTCTGGAAGGCATGGCATGAGCATCTAGCAAACTGCAAAAATTTATATAAGCAAGAAATAAGATTTTATTGTGATACACCACTCAGATGTTAGAAATTAGTTAGAGCAACTCAAATTACCAAAACTGAATAAAACAAGCGACTTTTTTTTGTCTTTCATATAGAATAGAGGGGCCCATCATTTTAAAGATTTCAATGAATTATATTCAGAAACTTCTATTATTTGAATTCTGCTCTTATTTTATAAATCTGAGTCCCAACTACACATTAGTTCCTCATGATCTGAATGGCACCCCGGAGGTACAAATCTTAGTTTCACATGAGTGAGAGCCAAACTTGAGTAAAGGGAGAGAGGAGTGGAAAGAGTCTAAAAATTCCTCTAAAGGAGATAATTATTTGAAAGCCAGTTTAAAGAGACAGGCTCTTTTAGGAGCCAGTTGTCATGATGTCCTACGTGAAGAATACTTGGGGCTCACTGAGAGAGGTACATGCTCATACAGCAAATGAGATTAAGGACCAAGGTGAAAAATATTTAAGCAACCAAAGAGACAGACAGGAATTTTTGACAACAGCTGTATCCAACGTATAATATGCTGTGACTGCCTTTGCAGAGGCAGTTGAAGCCAAGGTCCAGCTCAAGAAATATTTGACTCCTGATTCAGGGACGTGCCATAAAGAATTAAAATGTTACGGACAAAGCAAGAAGTGATTTCAAAATAATGGCTCCAAATTAAGTAAGCTGAAAAAATTCAATATCTCTTGAATGTCTGGAATCTGCTTTTTGGTCAATGCCTAAAACAGAATGGTGAATCTGAAATTATATGTAATTCCATTGTTAAATCATGTCAAAACCGATGAAATGCTTTATTAATGTGACAAAATCCAGAATTTAGAGATTTAAAAATAACAGAAAAACCTGTAATTGTGCTCTTCAATGGAGTATAATAAAGGAGAAACTCTTACTTAACCTGAATGTCTCTGAGGCCCTAGAACTACCCCGTTTTGCTTCCATAGGTCAGCGTTCCCAGTGAGCACCTGTGCCATGACCCTGAATAAATCACAAGATGAAATTCTGAAATGCAGAGGCTGTTTTGCAGTTGAGTGGCTTCTTGCATGGGCATTTCTTTATGTTTATACAGCAAAGTTTTACTCATAGCAGCTCCAGGTAGTATAGTGACAAATGTGGCATATAGAAAAGCTTTGCTACAAATTTTTAAATTGTTGCAATTATAGAAAAACTTAGCAATATTAATATCATATTTCATTGATTCTAAACCCCACATTTCTCCCAAATTTAACATTTCTGAAAGCAGGATCTTTTACAACAGGTGGCATCTTATAATTTCTGTCAGACAGGGAGCAGTCAAGTCATAGTTGTTGCTGCAGGGATGAACTAGGTTTATATTCTTGAAGATGACCCAACAATTGCAATGCCTTGATCTTTCTATCAACAACTATTTAAAGATAATTTCAGGAAGGAATACAAGGACTGGTTGTTTTCTAAAAACCTTTCATTGAAAACTTCCGAGGGACAAGAAAGTGCCAACTTCAAAACTGGCAGATTGAGTGTCCATGACTTGAAAGAAAATACTGGAGATGATATTGGAGTGCTATTTTAAGAAAGGCTATATTACCAATGTTCTTGAGGACATAAAAGATGATATGTATGGGAAAAAAAGGTAGTGACAATTCTGAGTTTAAAAGTGATTCAGAAGAATTGGACCTGGAATGCAAAGATGTTTGAGGAGTATAATACATTTATTTTGTTTATATTTTCTTTTTACATGAATGCTCAAGGGTAATTATCAAAAATATCTTTGTGGAAATGAGTGTTAAATAGCTCTTTTATTAAGCATAAAATCAAAATTCTAAGTGATAAGAAAGTATTATGTCACAGTTTAGTTAGAATATTTTTCTCTCTTGGTAGCATATAAGGTGCATCTTCCAGTAGAAAGAATCTTACATTTAGTGAAATCTGAGAATAAAGCTACTTCTACAGTATAATAGACTACAGTATTTCATTGGCTAGTAAATTTTCGTAAAATTTTCTAGGAAGTTTAAAATTCACATTGAATTTATATATACATAATGTGCCTAGAACATAATGAGATGGAACAACTCTAAAACTCCTCTAATTACTTTGTAGTTCTAATAAATCTCTATCTGTATTGATTTGTTTTATTTAATTTTATGTAAAAGTTACCTTACCTAATTTTTCCTGCTTGTGTTTATTCATGCGTGTAGAGTCAGAAAGCGATCAAATATTCAACAGTGTTCTGCTTGTATGATGGGCATCAAAATATCGACAGTTCTAATCTTACGAATTCATTTGCAAAATGGCACTCATTTTCCTAGCTGCCGTTAAAGCAGCAAAATTTAACATTCTCCCAAATCTCTGAGCAAACAGATCTCAACTCAGAATCATTTTTTCCATGAATGTCTATAATAGATAATTGATGAGCTATATTATTACCATATGCAACGAACAGTTGAGAAAGCATTCCTTGAAAAAGTAATATAAAAGGTAATATTTGATTTTTAGTGGCAAGAATTTCAGATTTTTCACATCAGAAATAGTCAGTATATGGAATAAGTAATTTCATGCTAAAACATTTTAATAAGTTTAGAATATTCATAAAATAATCCCATGAATGGGGTGCATGTGCTAGAGTCCTTACTGGGCAAATTAAAAATAGTTTGGCTGTTTTACAAAATTAACTAGAAATCAGATGGAAAATTATGCTTATAACGGGGAAGAGTTATCTAAGATTAGAACTCATATTCAACTTGGAAAAAATGTCAAGCTGCCTTTAAACACTGACTAAAATTAAATATTTTGTCCACATGCTATTTTTCTATATTCTGCATGGGAATAAACACAGCAGCTCTGTGCATTATTATTCCATAGTCTTTGATCTATACTAAGTATTTAATGAAACTAGTCTTTGCATGTCAAAAAAAGAGGGGGGAATTGTATGGTATATATCTTAATAAAGCTGTTATTTTTTAAAAAAATAAAACCTTTAAAAAGTTCATAAAAGGTGAATGGTAATTTGTTCATGCAAGCATCCCTCAGCAGTGAAATCTCAGGTATCACAAAAGTCACCTATACAGATGTTGTACATATACTGGTAAAACGCTTAGGAAGACATACAGTTTCTAGCAGAGTGCCTGGCATATACTAGGTCTTCATATATTTTTGAATAAAGGAATGGTTGAAAATTTGGGAAGGGGAGCACTTATGCAATACACACAAAAGTTAAGCTTCCACAACCCAAGTGTCCATCGACAGGTTATTGGATAAAGAAGATGTGGTATGTATGTATGTGTATATATATATATATATATATATATATACATATATATTATATATATATATATACATATATATATATATAATATATATGTCCATTATATATAATGGACTACTACTCAGCCATAAAAAAGACAAAATCATCCCATTTGCAACAACATGGATGGACCTGGAGGGCATTCTGTTAAGTGAAATAATTGAGAGAGAGAAAGACAAACACCACAGGACTTCACTCATATGTGGAATATAAACTAACACACGGACAGAGAGAACAGTTTGGTGGTACCAGGGGGAATGGGGTTGGGGGGTGGGCACAAGGGGTGAAAGGGCACATTTATATGGTGATTGACAAATAATAACGTACAACGGAAATCTCACAATTTTATAAACTATTATGACATTAATTAAAAAAAAAAGTTAAGCTTCCAGGGAAAGCGTGACTATCTCGGTCATTGGATATTTGGAGTCCATGACTGTAAACTCCTGTCTCCTTGATATTTCAGTAACATCAAGTACATCTTTTTATTTCAGTAACATCAAGTACATCTTTTTATTTCAGTAACATCTTTGAGAGACTATCAAATGCCCTAGAATGTGCTAGTTGCTGGAGAATATGGATCTTGCCTTTAAAGAGTTTCACCGTC